ATATAAATAATTGAACAAAGTCTGTTCTACTTGTTGTAAGCACCATAGATTTTATTATAATTGAATAAAGTCTTATGACGGAAAAAATTCAAGGACAAGACATGCATGCCCTCAATAATATTTTTGCCAAATATAACCAAGTAGTTGAAGTGGAAATACCAAGAATTGAACTAGAAAGACAAGAAATAGAATCAGTAGTATGTGCAGAATAATATTCAATTCACTCACCAAAAATGCAATTTCAGAAATTCCATTTTTCCTTATGACTGCAGTTTTGGCATTTGGCACTGATGAGTGAATCATGCAAGCCAATGACTCCCACATATTCAAACTGAGAGAATCACCCACAAACATGATATTCTTCCCTCTGTATTTCTCCAAGAAAACCAACCCATTGAACCTGCAACCATTTTCCATTTTTAAGAATTATTCCGAATAGTCGATCACCTTATCCTTTAAACTAAAAGGCAAAGGGCCAAATATACCCTTCTACTTTCGCAATCTAAGAATACCCCTCGTTATATTATTGGATTATCTATACTCTGCAGTCATACTTTGGGTTCAAATATACCCCTCATTTAAATGGAGAGACACGTGTCATCGTCATGTTGGTCAATTCTAAATATCTCCTAATTAATTAAAAAGACACATTACCCATATCCGAAAAATATATTTATTTTTTTTGTAAAAACTGAAAAAAACTAAATTTTGTTTTTTACAAAAAACTGAAAAAACAAAAATATTTGTTTTTTCAGTTTTTACAAAAAAGAACTGCTTTAGAAAAACTGAAAAATATTTTCTAAAACAATATTTTTATAAAAACTGAAAAAAAACTGAAAATCAATTTTCTAAAGCAATTAAAAACTGGAAAAAACTGAAATATTTTTAACTAAAAACTGAAAAAAAACTAAAAAATAATTTCCTAAAGCAATGTTTTTGTAAAAACTGAAAAAGAACTGAAAATCAATTTTCTAAAGCAATTAAAAACTGGAAAAAACTGAAATATTTTTAACTAAAAACTGAAAAAAAAATTGTTTTTTCAGTTTTTACAAAAACATTGCTTTAGGAAATTATTTTTTAGTTTTTTTTCAGTTTTTACAAAAATATTATTTTAGAAAATATTTATCAGCTTTTTTTAAAGCAGTTTTTTTGTAAAAACTGGAAAAAGATTATTTTCGTTTTTTTCAGTTTTTAGTAAAAAAATCAGTTTTTTCCAGTTTTTACAAAAAAATTGCTTTAGAAAATTAATTTTCAGCTTTGTTTTCAGTTTTTACAAAAATATTATTTTAGAAAATATTTTTCAGTTTTTTCTAAAGTAGTTTTTTGTAAAAACTGGAAAAAAAAATATTTTTATTTTTTTCTGTTTTTAGTAAAAATAATTTCAGTTTTTTCCAGTTTTTACAAAAAAAAAAATTTATTTTTCGGGTATGGGTAATGGGTCTTTTTAATTAATTATGAGATATTTAGAATTGACCAACAGGACTATGACACGTGTCCCTCCGTTTAAATGAGGAGTATATTTGAACTCAAAGTATGACTGCAGGGGTATAGATAACCCAATAGTATAACGAAGGGTATTCTTAGACCATTTTCGAAAATAGAGGGGTATATTTGTCCCTTTGCCGTAAACTAAAAATAGTTGGTGGATTTATTACATATGTATAGTTTATGTATAATATATGTAAACTGTGTATAATTAATGTATAATCTATGTATACCGGCTAGAAAAAGTAAACATTGAATCTAGTCGGCTATTTGTGTAACAATACCCAACATTTTAATAAAAAAGTTTCAAGTCATATGTACTTAGGATGTAAAACTTATTTAGAGAAAAACGCCATTTATTAGTAATTATATGTAAATTTCTATAATATGCATTTATTGATAGCCTGAATAATAATTTATCAGCTACCACCTGATTGAACTCAGTAATAGTATAAAAGATCTTTACTCTACAAGTGCATTTAACTTAAATCCTTTTGAATAATGAGTTAAAGTTCTATGCAACTATGGTGTAAGACAACTACAAGAAAATCCTAGGATAAACATTAGTACTTGATAACTTGATAAGAATGGTAACCAACCTGCTATAATACGTTAAACTACACTGATATTATAAAAATTCTTTACAATGTGAATATATATACCTTAAATTCATGAGTGGAGATAGAAGCTCAGAGACATGTTCGATCGGACTTAGTAGCTTTTATTCAAATAAGGTATTTGTGTTAAGAAATTCATTAAATATGTACACATGTTAATTTTAGAATCCAGTTATTAGCTGTTCGAAATCGTCGTTTTAAAATTAAGAACTTATAAAATTAAAAGAGCTATGAAAGGAAAAAAGAAAGTGGTTCTCTACCTTGGCAGGTTACAGGAGAAAGGTTGCCATCTATATTTGAGGTAGGATTTATCAGGTCTGTTATATTTCTGGCAGTTGAATTCGTTGTCAATGAAAGGACAGCTTGAAAAATCATAGAGAGGATAGGAAGAATCAAAAACCCATTTGCCTTTGAAAATATTGCAACCACTGCTTATTTTCTTGGCATCAGTGGAGTTTGTGGCATTCAGATAATAATGCTCCTCTTGCTTTGCATTTGTTTCTAATGAAAACAGCAAAAACAGAGAGAGTAACAAAAATCCCATCTTGAGTTTCAATCAAGAAACTCAATTAAAAGGATGCAATGTGTATATAATGTGTAAACAGAGAAGAGTTTGACGTGGGAAGAATAGGGAGACAATGTGCTATATATGTAGTCAGAAGAGAATAAAGAGAACTTTTTAAGAATTTGATTTTCTAGAAGATATGGAGACAACATGGAGTTATTTTATTTGAAATTTGGAACTATACATGATTATTTTTTTAGTTTACCAACGGAGGAAACTAAGTACTTCTTTTAAAGAGAACGTCTCTTTCCGCCGGATATATTTGTTTTCGGAGGCAGAGTCAGATACAAGATTTGAAGTTTATGGGTTTTGTAACGATTTCAAATTAATATATAGTAACTGAATTCACAGTCAAATATTTATAAATATTCAATAAAAAATTTAATATCCGCCACTGTTTAACTACTGAGTTCTCGCGTACCCGCATATAACTTCTAGATCCGCCATTGTTTAACGGGTAGTTGATCCCAAAACTTTTTATACTCCGTCCGTTTCAATTTAGATGAGTTAGTTTGACTCGGCACGAAATTTAAGAAAAAGAATAAGACTTTTAAAACTTGTAGTCCTAAAAGCTTAAGGGGTAAAAGCTTTGTGGATCTATGACATTTATGTGGTTATAAAAGTTTCTCATTAAGGATAAAATGGGTAAAATGAAGAGTTTAAAGTTGAATTATTTCCAAATTTAAAAATGTGTCATTTATTTTTGAACAGACTAAAAAGAAAAGTATCTCTTCTAATTTGAAACGGAGGGAATAGAATGTTTCTCGGAAAAAGAGAAAGAAATATCTCTTTGTTTCAATTTATAGTCTTTATTTTTCTTTTTAGTTTGTTTAAAAAAACCAAATTATATTAATTAGTACTATTAACTTTTTAACTCAAACTTTATGCATCGTACATGTAAGATCACACAATTCATAAACATTATGATATATTACATATTGTTAATTTAAGATTACTAGATTCAAAAATCTTCCCAATTAAGTGAAACTAATTATGACACATAATATGAGAGAGTATACAAATTTGTACTATTTCGTTTTTTATGAAATTAGACATCATCTTAGCCATTTTAATTTCATTTTACATTGTACAAGATCTAATCTAACCAAAAGTTTTCTCTTCCATTGTCACTTCCCCTACTTTTCTCGGGTCGATCTATTCTCTCTTTTGGGAAAAATTTATTATCACTAGTTGATATTACCTAAAATGTTTGCTTTAATACTACTCCATAATGTAATCTTCGAAGAAGAGATCCCTATGCTATGAATTAAAGACTGAATCGAACACGATATTACTCTCCCATAAACTATATTAAGATGATAAAAACTAAAGCGCCCCGTATCACAGCAAATTAATAAGTATGTGACATTTATTTTCACATACAGTGAAGTAGAATGATTTAGTGTAAACACTAAATGTGAGTAAGTATTTTTCTCTATTATTATTTAGCTACGGTGAATTAAATAATAGTTTTGGGACATTCTAATTTTAATTTATCACTTAATTATAATAATATATTCATTGTTACAATATTAATATAGTCGAAAGTAAATAGTTTTCATTATGAATGGGCTCACTTGCTTACCTACGAAGACAACAATCAACATTGAACCTTTCGATCTTTCAACTAATCTTTACTCTTACCGATAGTTATAAAGCTAAAATTTTCATTAAGGGGTGTCAAAATATAAAAAAATAAACTCACGAAGAAATTAAGTAGAGTAATATATAGAATAGATATTTTAGCTGGCTACACAATATAATTTCGAATGAAGGATATCAACTGACACCCCTTACATATATGTGGCTCCGCTACTGCCTATCGACGTATGTGGTCAAGATAACACATTTTGCTCTAATTTGTGCTCGTTTGGCAATTAGTTTGGCATAATTGTTAAGTTTGTCCTGATTTTTTTATCAATTTAAATTTTTATCTATTACTTGAAGAAAGGGTAAAATATTCACCGGATGGACAAAAAGTTCATGTGGCACGACGTGTGTCACAATCCATGGATTATCGGCATTGAAGGGAGTTGAAACTATCAAAATACCAAGATCATAAGGGTATTAAAGACCACTTAAAATTTAATGAGAACTAAACAAAAGTTGTCTAAAGAGGGTCCCAAACTATTGTGTCTTTTTTCAGCGGTCAACCTGTTTGAGGATTTCTCAAAGCCCGATTAATTCTAAGTCAATAAAAGGCAAAGACAAAAACAAAATAGGGACCAAATGCAAAAGGATAATGTCCTGCATTAAGTTCAACAACATGTGCAGCTGGTTACTAATCTTGCCTTAATCCATGTGTCTTATTATTTGATGGTACAATCCTTCAATTGTTCCTAAATTCTGTCTATTCTTAAATTTTATCTTAAAATACTGAAGGAGTGGAACTATGAAGGTAAACAAGGGGCTCTAGGTGCTCTGAAATGTTAAGAAGATGGTGCTCATTTTATTATTTACAGATATATATTCTACAAAAAGAATTACATAAAGCTAATGTTCATGTTAAACTACATTAGTGTTTCATAATTAGTGACAAAAGTGAGCTGAGAGTCTAGATTACTCATATCTAAATTTATATGGCAATGTTTAATTAAGCGCTAAATTTAAGAAAGAAATGATAATTTTTAAAACTTTTGGTCTGCAACAAGCCATAAAAATTTATGTGATTAGCTATAAATCGTCTAACTAAAGGTAAATAAAAAGTTTAAAGTTAGTTTTGCTTCTAAATAAGAAAATATGATATTATTTTGGGACATACTAAAAAGGAAAAGTATGACACATAAATTGGACGGAGAAAGTAATTAACTATGATTACGTAAACAAATACATTTTGTAAAGATTATACATATCGATATAATCTGTTTATTGATTTGGTACAAATATCAGTATATAGTGAAATTTTCAATATTTTACTTACTTTGATTCTTATTTTAAAATGCTTTCTGGTCAAAGTTTGTTGTTCAGTAATATTCTTATCCGTTTGTCTTCTTCAATATATTTCATGTTTAAGTTATTTGTATTCTGTGATTCTATTAAACCTTCAGAAACACATTCCTTTCTCACATGTGATATAGCCCCTACCTAAGTTGAAACCTGAATAATATTCTGTGTTTCTATTGATTGTGATCTGGCCACATGACTCCACTACCATGCATGCTTAGTTTGGTGTGTTATCTCGATATAGAACTTGGAATTAAATTTATTTCGTGTTTGGTCGGAAGAATTAGCTAATGATATTATTTCTATATCAAAATTTTGGTGTAACTTATCCTATATAGAGGTGAGATAAGTTATTCTGGATTTATAGTCTATTTGGCCAAGTTGTTTTATTGGGTCAAAAGTGCTTTTTTGGTCAAAAGTATTTTTCTAAAAATTGAGGTGTTTGACCAAGTTTTTAGAAGAAAAAAAATATTTTTGAAGAGAAGCAGAAGCAGTTTTTGAGAAGCGCAGAAAAAAGTAGTTTCTCTTCAAAAACACTTTTCTGAGAAACACTTTTGAGAAAAATACACTTAGAAGCAGTTTTTAAAAGCTTGACCAAACACTAATTACTGCTCAAAAATATTTTTAAATTAATTAATCAAACACAAATTGCTCATCACCAAAAGCACTTTTTTGAAAAGTATTTTTGAGAAAAACACTTCTCAAATAAGCTGATTTTAGAAGCTTTGCCAAACAAGCTATTAATATGATGATTATCCAAAATATATAACCCCGGAATATCCTAGATTTGAACCAAATTACCCCTACGATAACGAATACTAGTATATATTAATATCTTCATGTGGATTTATGTATAAGTTAGAATGAATGCTAACATCATGAAAGCTTTAGAGACCTGCATCATAATTTCTTGTTACATTTGCATAACAAATTTAATTGATATCTTCATGTGGATTTAGTTGCAAACAATAATCATGTTGAAAGCTTTAACAACCTTCGTCATGAATGTGTTTTGTTTAAAATTCTTGCCAACTATTGTCCGCCTATATCAACCTCGCAAGTCAATGCAAAATTATTATTATAACTAACACAAAATTATTTTTGATAGATTCCTTTTCTATACTACTCCCTTTAATCCACTTTGTTTGCCTTTTTTTATAGTCCATAATATATATTTGAGTTTTTCAGATATTAAGAAGGAATTAACTTCTTTTTTCAAAATTGTCATTGAATTAAAGAGCCTATGAGTATTTGTTATATTTCAAATAAATAAATTAAGGTTAATATGATCAATTTCATTATTAATTGCTAAATGATGAATTTCTTAATATATGTAAAAACAACTAAAATATCAAATTAAAATGGATTGAAGGGAGTAAGCGTTTGTTTATCATTTAAATAGTCATTACTCGATAATTTGGATTTTGGCTATTATGAATTATTAATGTAGGCCCCAACTATTAGAAGAACTTTAATATGTACTTTTCTGAAATAAATGAACCAATTAATGACTTCTAAAAGAAGACAAATAATTGTTCGATTAGAACGTAAAAGGCGATGATTATTCTCTTATCCATGACTTCCCTTCTAATCAAGCATTTCATTATCAGTCCAATATTAAAGTTAATTTCAAACAAAAGCATATTATTACTTTTTAAATGTGGCCCTCCAGAAATATAAAGAATGATGTTGCATGTGGGCATGGGGAGGGGCCAACTTGTTGGGGCTGTCCTCCTGGAATCGTGGTTGCTAATTGTGACAATATAATATTGCAATTAATTTATGAAGAACTTGTAAATTGAACCTAATGTGTGGGTTATGAAGAGGATATAGCCATGGTCTATTGTTATTTGATGACACCCTTCACGTTTGGGTTAGAGTAAATGTGGTCATTAAGATGACTGATCACGACTTTGTTTTAATAACCATTTAGTATTGGTCAGACTAATCGAGTTCGTGTCGTCAATTAAAGAGAAAAATAATTTCTATCAACAATTACTTCATTATAGTTACGAAATCTTAGCTATAGATTTAAAAATCGTGGCTAGCACCTAATAATAGCCACAAAAATTCAAATTCCATGGCTATTTACAAATTTATAAAATTTCTTAGCCACGAAAATTAAATTGCAAGCT